AGTAGTAGTAGTAGTATGTAGTATGTAGTATGTAGTATGTAGTATGTAGTAGTAGTAGTAGTAGTAGTAGTAGTAGTAGTAGTAGTTAGTAGTAGTAGTAGTAGTAGTAGTAGTAGTAGTAGTAGTACGGCAGTGTTGCAGTGTTGGTACGGATTCGGCATGTTCGGACGCAAGCCCAACACCCGCGATTTTTGTGAGAAGCTTGATGCGTGGTGACATCAAGGTAGGGATACGCGAAGATCACACAGCCAGCCCGTGAATGTAGGCTAGCAGGTGCGCGAATTAAGCCCTCCCTGACTGAACCATTTCGGCTGGCAGCTGGCTTTGTCATGCCATCAGCCCGTCAGTCAAATACTGGTACGCCGTTCTAGATGAGAAGCAGGGACGACAAGCGGCTGACTCGCCACGGGACGGTTTCAAGTGCACGTTGCATGCATCTCAGCTGGCAGAACCAGCTCTTCCCTCGCAAGTCTCGGTTAGAGTGAGGTCCGGGGATACCTTTGGCAAGATGGGTTCTGGGTTTTTGTATCCAACAGGCAGCAGTCTAAGCTCAAAACCCGACCCTGTCTCCAAGACTGCAGGGAATCTTGCACTGATCATCCCCAGTTTTGAGCACACGCTGCCCAAAAAGGGGAATAGATGTGGCCGTCTGATACTCACCTGGTTTCCCGGGCTACAAGTCTAAATTCAGTATGACCGAAAGGTTAGCCAAGTAAAGGCTTACGGTGATCATGGTGTAGGAAGATAAGCAAGACAACTGCTACGCTCGCTTCTCCTTTACCCTGAAGGAGTGGAATGCACTGCTAGCGCAGATGAAGCTCTACACCTAAACCCTAAACCCTAAACCCTAAACCCTAAACCCTCTACACCGCCACCATACAGGATGACGAGGGGGGGCAGTTCCCGAACCAAGGTCGCTTCCAGGTTTGTCTACGGTTGCAACGGGGTTTGTCGTCACCACAACCCAAAATCCTACCTAAACCCAGATTCTTAAACGCCAAAGCAAATTGCAAGTTCTGCACTTGAGTTCAAGGAACTAAGATGCAAGGGTGTTGGAAGTTTCATACTATGAGAATATTGAGGAGTTGTGCTAATCATACTGTCCTCTATCTTACTTCTACAAAGACCCTTCCCAAACCCCTACAAAAATCAAAAAAACTATAACGCTCTCCGTGACCCTTGTACATCCCGATACTAATAAATTCGAGGAGCGCCGACAGCTTCGGCATTTGACATGCCTGGGACCTCGTCATCGGAGCCCCAGTCTCAAGTCAGCCCTAATGTCGGGGTTAGGGTTTAGGGTTTAGGGTTAGGGCTAATGTCGGGGCCTGAAGAATTTGAATAGGGTTTTTGGGGCATATTATACTGCAAATAACATAACGGACCCTCCTACATAGCATGGTAATTATCTACGCACCCATATGGCACCTCTCTTGCAAGGGTTTTGCCTTTGCCTGTTAGGCGGGCAGGGGCTATCCTTCGTGTGGGCTCCCTTGGGGGGTTTGAAATAACTCGCACCACAAAAACCAAAAAGTAACCCTAAGATCGGAGCCTCGGCTGTGCATCACATTTTGCAGTCTAGAATCCCTGGCAGTGAAGTATCAGCTGGAAAACAATGGCCGATCGTCCTACTCAGCGGGTGTCAGCACTTTGCGAGCGCAAACCACCCTCTCTGAGAGGGAAGCTTCAAAAACGAGTTAAATGGTTAAAAGATGATTAGACACTCGCCCAGGAAGTGTGTAGGAGGCTCGGAAGACAGAGGAACACCTGATTTTAAGGCTCCAGCTTTTGTTCCAGGATATCCGGTAAACCATGGACCTCTCTCTCTCTGTGGGATTTGTTATACCTACCTGCCTATTTGTTCACTTATTCATTCAGCTTTATACAAAATACACATATACATACATATATCTATACACACACATATATATATATATATACAGATACATATACATATACATATACACATATATAGCTGCCTTCCCAGCCTGCCTTCGGCAGAACCAAGCTCGCAGAGGAACACTGCACTTGCAAACCGTGGCAGGCGCATTCACCGATGTCAAGAGCACATACATGTGAACGTAGGACGGGAAGGTTCGGCATTCGGGTACAACGTGCCCGCAGGCGATACAGCGCCCTGCCACAATCATCTAGCGAGTTTGGGCACCGAAAGAGTATGCACATGGTGCGTCGAGCTCCAACTACGACTAAGCTGGAGCCCGGCCACCAAAAAAAGTTCATGAAGCATTGACGGTGCTGCCAGGAGTACCTGTTAAACGCGGCCCTACCCCGTGGGCCGCCTCAAAGAAGCTTGAGGGCGTGGGGTTACCAGAACCCGATAACGGTTTAAGGTTTAGGGTCTATATATACCTAGACCCTAAAGAACCTGCCTTTTGAGGGCTCCTTATCATAGTTTCTTTACATAAGTCCTTAAAAAGGGAGGCTCTTTTGGGTTAAGGTAGGTTTGGGGTATCGCCATCATGATTGTGGAAAACACGCGCTCAGCAATCGTGGACCACATCAGACAGCCATGCCTCTGCGAGAGCTTTCAAAGCGGTCCACGACTAGGCTTTACAGGGACCGTATCCAGCTTCCATGAGATCTTGCCTCAATGCTGTTAATGGGAGTTTCATTTTTTAGGGGGCCCAAGACCCGAAACTGTGCCATCTCAACCCGCTCTCGCTCTCTCTCTCTCTCTCATTCTCGCTCTCTCTCTCTCTCTCTCTCTCTCTCTCGCTCTCTCTCTCTAAACCTGGTAGTAGGATCCTTGCTCTACGGACCAGAGGCCCAACGAATCTACGTGTGAGCACGGGAGGCATAAGAATTTCCGGCGCAGGAAATGTGCAATTGTCGTGAACACAACATCCCTTCTTTCAAAGCTTGTTACAAAGGCTTCAGGGCCGAGGATCATTGCTGCCTCCTCACCATAAGTCTGGAAATCATTGAGCCATGGTGAGTGCTCCCGCTTGCTCCTCTCCCCGGCTTTTGGTAGGCAATGTGCTGGCTTCAAGTCCGCGTTACGTCAGGTGTTGATGGCCAGGGTCGCGAATGCTATCCGGTAACAAAGCACAGAAAAGCCGCTTTCTCCAGTGATGCTGACTCTTGTCGGGTTGATGCTCTCCGTCTGCACAGGAACGAAGATGCCTCGCTCAGCAGCATTACATCAGGTGCCTGTGGATCTGGGGTGGACAGTTGTTGTGGCTGAAACTTAAACAGGACCCTGAGCCCTAAACTTTATGCCCTAAGCTAAAGACCTACCCCAAACCCTGAAAACTCACAACCTTGGACCAGCTACAGGTTCGGCTTCCATAGCCTAACTGCAAGGATCTCTAACTTGTGCATGAAATCATCCGCCTGTTGACCTGCAACCTGGACACCTCTACTGCGGGAGCCTGATTCATACCTCGTGATTATCAGGAACTTTCCGACGACTTTAAGGGCTTGGGGTTTAGGGTTTAGGGTTTAGGGGTTTAGGATTCCTATTCTATGGGGGGTGTTCAGAGCATTTTAAAGGCTTGGGGTTTAGGAATCCTATTCTATGGGGGAGTTCAGAGCATGGTATTCCTAATTCTTCACCTTTCATGCACACCGGCTCTTCGCCCTCGGATTTCATGCCCTGAGCAAGCAGCGGCTACAACATTAACGGGAGGGAGCCGACCTCCCAGCAGACCCGGCTTTGCCGGCTACCTGCACTGTAAGAGCGGACAGGGACAATGCCCGTGATGTGTTCGTGGGCAACTGCCAGGGGCAGACAGCGCTGTAGGAATGGGCTAGGGACAGCAGCGATGGGTCTTGGTACCGAGCTAGTATCATAAGTCATGTCATGCCGTGCGAAAACCAGGGATGCGCAGAGAGACCCGTCGTCAGGCAAGGGCATTTCAGATCATGGCTATGGCCAAGGCCGTCGTAGCCGCTGGTAGTAACTTGTTGTTCGATGGTTGCTGGTCAGCTCTTGGCGGCACTCTTTTTGATCGCATTATTTGAAAGTACGGCCTGAGGTTTGGACATTTTGATTGGAAGTAGACACGACGCGGCCGGAAATAAATGCCGGGGTTGGGGCCCATCTGCATGTAAGGTTCTGATCTGTCTGCCCCTCGCACTTTTAAAGCCCGGGACATATACATGTCAGGCACGTGCCGAGGTTCCGAAACAAGTTCGCAGCAGCCATGTGCGCAGACTCCTTGTCCTCGGTGAGTGTAGGGTACTTGGAGGTCATGGGACTTAGTAAGGTTTTAAGTCCCTTATTTAGGGTTATAAGTAAATATAAGTATAGTTGCCGTAATTATAACCCTACTTACTAAGTACCATGATCCTTTAAGTAGCAGATCAGATGACGGACCTCCATCCCCGCACACAGCGTATCATGTAGCATGTACTAGGCGAGGGCTCGTGGTGAATCCTGGTCTTGGACATGGCATCGTAGGCAGACCCCTCTTCTCTCCACTTAAAGGATCATGGCTTAGTAAGTAGGGTTATAATTAAGGTAACTATACTTATATGTACTTATAACCCCCAATTAAGGGACTTATAACCTTACTTACTAAGTCCCATGATCCTCCAAGTATTCTCGAACACACCCTGCAGTGTCATCTATCGCCCTACACCATTGGAAGAAACCTGATAACAGTGCTCCGAGTGTCTTTGCGATTTCGAGGAAATAGAGGACTGAGCGGATTTTGCCTCAGCCAAGGAGTAAAAAAAGTCTCGGGGGCATCAACGGGGATTTGACGGTCGGGGTCTAGTATCGGGGGTAATGTAGGCACTAAAATAATTACCAATACTTGTTTTTTTGGGGGGGTCCTTATTATGATTGTAGTAATTATAATGGGCCCCAAAACCCTATTCTGAATATTAAGGCCCCTATATTAGCGCCCAGGTGGGGACCTTGTCTGAAGAAGACCACAGGCTTTCTCGGTTCGATTACTCTCGCGGAGCTGTGCAGAACGGTTTAGGGTTTAGGGTTTATGTAGGGTTTAGGGTTAAGGGTTTATGTAGGGTCAGGCTATGCTAGCAGGTCCTATGATGTGGCCCTGGCTTAGGATTTGAGATTTGTTGCACTGTCCCCGACCATGCTCCTTTCCACTCTCGTAGACTACACACGTTCCTGAAACCACAAAGTGCGTATATTATAGCTGGCTATTCAGGCACACAAACCCTAAACAAAACCAGAACCGAGACCTCAAGCCTACAACCCAGCTGATCCAAGACTGCAAACCCCAAACCCAACTGGTGAAAGAGGATAACCATGGGTTTACAACTGTTTTCAGGGGGCTTCGTAATGGGTTAAGGTCCTAAGCCCTATAAGGCAAGCTTCCAATAGCGAAGACTCCGCCGGGAGGAAGACATGCGGAGCAGGCACTCCGGCGAGCAATATTTCCTGATTAAAGGCCGGGTGCTTGAAGTTAGGGTTGTTCAAGGCTGAGGAATGTAACCTCCCGGGTTTCAAGCTTAGGGGGTTTACAGAGTTTGAGGGAAGTCCTGTCACGGTCAAGGCTTTTTCTGAATTCCTGGGCTTCGAGAGCAACTTAGGGGCTGAGTACCCTATCCCAAAAAAGGTTAACCTTTTGAATTATAGTAGGATTATAAGAGCCCCAAAAGGTTAAAGGTTACCTACTCAGCCACTAAGGCAAGAAAGGGATTCACGACATTGCTCTTCCTTCCTGAATGTAGGACGCAGGAACTACTCCTAACCCTACCCTTAAAGGAGCCGTCAGGGAACCAGCAAAGGAACCCTCACAATTAGCTAGGACCGGGAACAATAGGAGGGATCCCTAGAAGGGACCCCCTTATCCTCATACCCTATATAAGCCTTCTATACGCCTTATATAGTCTCACTCATACAGTCTCATCAAGCCACTATATAACCCCAAGGGTCCCTTTAAGGGTCCCTCCTTTAGTCTCTTGTTAGGAACCCTTATAAGGAGGTTTCTGCTAGAACCGCAATCTTGTGTTGCCGGTATGGCCACAGTGCTGTACTGTAAGTCTCTTCGCTGGCTGTGCACACTCACAGTGCGTCTGAAAGAAAGAAAGAAAGAAAGCAAGAACCCTTATAAGGAACCCTGTAGCATATAACCCTGCCCTACGAGCTTGAGTACTCTCGGCTAGGTACCGCCAGGCGAGGATCCGAGTATCTACACAGTCTAGGGCTTAGGGCTTTTAGGGTTTAGGGTTTAGGGTTTGGGGCTTTTAGGGCTTTTAGGCTTTCGACTCACACACTCGCAAAAGCTGGCATGGCGATAAGTGTCCGACATTGCTACGTGGACATGCTGAGCAACATGACAGAGGAACCAATTCACAGTCGTCAAAAGCATGAGCGAAGATGACGCCCCGCTAATCAAGCAAAAGGATCAGA